AACATTACTTGTGCTTGTTCTACTGTTCTTGTCTCCATCTCACAGAGCAGAGATTCCATGACTGCCTTATTGGAGTTTGGAAGTGATGCAAAGAACAATAATACCTTTTTCTCTTTCTCCACCTTCGCATCAACCTTCTTTAACTGATAAATGATCCCGTCAAATTCATTCATATGCTTCATGAGGTATCCATTCTCTTTTATCTTTTTTTTTTTTATAATTAGAGGAAGAAGGATACAAACCCTATTTTTAAGACAAGATGATTATGCACCAACCAACGAGCTAATGCTTGGATGCCTCTTCCATCTTTGAGTAATACAACTTTTGCCTAAGCTACAACTTGTTGGAAAGTAAGTCTTTTCCAACATTACCTACAACCTTGGGGCAGAATCTTCATCAATAACATAGTTAAAACATACTATCTCTGATGCCAAATAGTGTTGACATACCTTTGCTCTACCTCTTCCCAATCAACATCCTTCATGCCGTCCAGTTGTATTTCCTCCTTTCTTAGCAAGAGGTGCATCAAACCTAACTGTGTAAGGAAATTTTTCATCCTTCTATGCCACTGTGCTCAACAATATAAACTCTAATATATATGAAATAATACTCACATTCTTTCTCTCTTCTTTCTACACCATTACCCTTCCAAAGTTGTGTAATTTTCGTTTAATACAAAGGAAGCTACTAAGAAACTATCAGGTAACAAACCAAATTAAGGCATCCCACTCCAATTAATTTATTGAGAAATAAGCCCCTTGAATTTGATCCGATTAAGGAGAGTTTAAAAGAAATTCAAACCCAAGATCCAAATGTGTAATATGACCTGTTTTAGAAACAAATTAGTTCTTGACAATATATAATATATATTTAATATAAGTTATACTGGAAAATGAAATGACTCTAAATACAAACATGAATCGTGGACTTCAATTGTCACACATACTCGACTTTAAATATAGAATTTTAAAGTGTGTAGCAATTAATAAATTAAGATAAATTGAGTTATTACATGTTGACTCAACACAGGAGCCAGAAATTTGCTAATTAGTTAGTATTTAGGTATCATGAAGGTACAGTCATGTTAAACATAGAGAATACTTATATTTTGGCCTAAACTCCCAATAAATTCTTTTTTTTTTTGCTGAACAAAAAAAATTCTTTTTTTCCTTTTGAAATGCCCAATAAATTCTTTATAATATTGATCTTTTGGAAATAATGATTCTACTGTCGTTGCGTACATATAAATATATATCGTTAAATGAAATTGATTGTTTAAAGAAAAAATCATTTTTTATTATGGGTTAAAAACAAGGTCCAAAAAAGAAAATATCAAATGGATTGAAAATAAAGGATCTCGTGGGCTAATAGCAACCTTTCTTCAAATTATGTGCAACAAACAATAAGTTACACAGTGATTCAGATCCAGACGCCATTACTTTTCCTGCCTGAAGTTCGTGGTTCAAACTACAAAGCAATGCAAATATTGCAGAGAGAGAGGCAAGCCAACCATAGACACATGTCCAAATTTGACTTCACGTTGCTTTCTCTTTCACACAACTTAATTCAACCTCATCCAACATGAAATTAATACTACTACATGTTTCACTGCGCAAATAGTCCAAGTACTAGAAGCAAGAAAAGAATCATGCACGATCTCATCTCATCTAATATATCTGTTTATAAAGATCAGATCCGTAAATTTTCTCTTTCTATATATTTACTGCAAAGACAACTTGGCTCATGAGCAGTCATTGCTTCAAAATACGGGGCCTGCTCAAAAAATTAAAAACCTTTGGGATCCAACTGGAATAGGGTCCATGACTCCCCTTGTCGTAGATAAGCAAATGCCCTCCACAGTATCACTCTTTTCGGACCAAAGCAAATATTTAACTTCTGACAGTTACCTGACGTATCATTATTAAATTCCCCTCATTAAATTATCTATGGAACCAGGATTAAGGAAGAAAGATTATATCTACCTTCATTGTGCAACCAAAACATTGGAATAAAGGGAAAAAAAAATTCAATACTAAGTACAGGATTAGTATTACCATTTATTTACAAATACATGTATAAATGTGCATAAGTATATGTATATTTGAAGAAAAGAAGGAATGAGAAAAAATTGTCGCCCCCCTCGTCCGCTGCGGTGTAGCAGGGGTCAGGGTCACACTCATTTCATCATAATAGCAACAAGCATAATCTCGACAGGGTTGGTAATACTGCCAAACTTTCCTCTCTTTTTTTCCTCTTATTTTTTCTTCAAACCCTAACCTCTTTAACTGACCAATAGCAAGTAACTGAACCGCTTTTGATCTCTAACTAAACCCGGTTTCCCATAAGAAACCACCCTTATTTTCCCTTCTAGGTCCCAGCATTTGCTGCCAGCCGTGGGAACTACTAAACCCACTTTTTTTTTTTTTCCCAATACCTGCTGGGCTTCTTCTCTCTCTTTTATATTACCTCTTTGGATCCTATCTCTCTCTCTTTCTTTTTGCCTTTCTCTCTCTCTCTCCGAATAAATTTTTCTATATATGAAGGACATTTAGTTTACTGTTGTGATACATAGCCCGGTTTTAAAGCAACGAGTAGAGGGAATAAAAGCTCTTTTAGTTTTTTGGCCTCCAATTGTTGCTTTCTTCTTGTGATTTTTGCTACTTGTTGCAGGAGGAGCTTGGTTCTCTTTTCTTTCTTTGGTTTTCTTTGTTGCTTTCTTCTCGGGGTTGAGGAGTGGTAGCTCTAAGCTTTGATATTTAATTTTTGCTTGAAAGACATGTCGAGCTGCATCGATGTTGCGCCTGAGCAACTCTGCTATATCCCCTGCAACTTTTGCAACATAGTTCTTGCGGTATCTGATCTGATATATGGCTTCTTTTTAATGGGGGGATCTGCCCTTTCTTTTTCATTCACGGTTCTTATCAACAGGCCACTAACATATTATTTATGCAATATATTGTATATTGTTTCGGTTACGTGTTTGGTTTTTTCTTTCTCCATGTATATCTTACAAGAAAGAACATTTTAGATCCTGATAAAAGCTGTCTTTGCTTCGGTGATCAGAGCTCCCGTGTTCTTTTTACTGAAATCTATTGATTTTCTTTTCTGGGTTTCTTGTTTTTCTTACCAGTCAGGTCTCCATCGTTAGACTTTTCTTTTTCTTCTTTCTTTTGCAGTCAAAGAAAAGTCATAATGCAAAGACCAGAGAAATAGAGAAAGAGAGAGGGAAGGAAGAGCTTAGAGATAATTACTATCTTTTATTATGTTATTTTTGGTAAATAAAAGAGGATTTTCTTAACGTCCAAAGTCCAAACACAAGCATTTTGTTGATAATCTGATGAGGACAACTCCTCAACTCCCTTGGTTTACTATTGTTGTTACATGCCTTTCCCTTGCTAAAAATACTGCCACATCCTGCTTCCTCTGCTCACTCAGCTTCTTTAGCTAATGGGGAAAAGAAAATGAAGATCTCATTAGCTTTGGTCATTTCCCAGAAAACACCCAACTCAAACACATTAAGAAACCCACCATGCACGGATAATTTTAGTATTACCATCTTCTTTCCATCAAAGGAAACCAAAAGAAAAAAAAAAAAACAAACCCATTTCTCTTCTTCTTGTTCTACTTCTCCCCAAGAAGTCACAAAGCTATGCTTCTTCCTTGACCAACATTCTATTCATCACGTTCTTAGCAGTCACCTTCTAGCTGTTTCCTGTTTCTTTTTTTTCCCTTTTTTTCTTAAAGCTGATTCAACTGTGATGTAAAGAGAAAACAGAAGCTAGCTGATCATCAATATCAGAAAAGATAACCCAATTTTTAGAATCTTAGCTGATCTGGGATTTTCTTTCAATTTATGTTACAACTTACAATTAAATTTTACTTTGCAGTAATGTTAATAATATTAGAGAATTGGATTGCGCAGGTGAGCGTTCCATGCAGCAACCTGTTTGATATTGTGACCGTCCGATGCGGGCACTGCACCAATCTATGGTCCGTGAACATGGCAGCTGCATTCCAGTCACTGTCATGGCAAGATGTTCAGGTGATATCCCTGCTCGAATAATTTATACTAATAATATTGTCTATTTTGAGGCTCTTTAAAGCCTTTGAAACCTAGGGTTTCTCGGGGTAGTGAAACATCTTTTTTTTTAAACAGAAATCAAAGCTTTTCAAAGACCTTAGATGGAGAATTTCAAAACATTTTGCTCTATGAAATGGTTGCAGTCACTAGAAACCCTAGCAGCCGCCATGATCAAAACCTATTTAATTGGCTTTCCGTAGACCTGGATTCTGCGACACTGCGTCAGGGGGCCTATAATTATAAACTATAGTATTATCCTGACCATTAAAAGCTTAGGCATGTTCTAAAGAGTTTTCTTTTGTTTTTCGAACACTTTCTGAGCCGCCTTTTTTTATTATTTTTTGTTTTGTATTCTAAGGTCTGCTTTAGGAACCTGATTTGATTGACGTGTGAGTTAGGGTTCTTAGGTTTAATGATTCCTTTTCGAGAACTTTGTCTTCTACTGTGGAAACAAATTAAGAAAAGGAAACAGAAGAGGGGGGTTTTTGAGAAATCTTTTGGTTAAAAACTTATTTAGGGGCCCTTCCTGCTCTTGTTTCAACGAATCGGCTATCTGGGTTGTGTGCACTATCTATCATAAATGAGGCTACAATTCTAACTGATTCAGTCACTTCAATGCTGGTTTTGCACCTTTTTTCTCTCACAAAACATCATTTCAATCTACTCAGCTTTTTCTCTTTCTCTTTCTCTCTCTTTTTTCTATTTTTTTTTTGTTCTCTCCTCTCCTATCATTACCTCTAACGTGTACCTCTTCTATTTCTTGCTTTTCTTTTCTTTTTATTTTTTTTCCTTGCCTCAACTATCTAGTTATACAAAAATACTAAAGACGAAAGCATAAAATAAAAGGACCCAAGAAGGAAAACAAGACTATCTCTTTCTTGATTGATGGAGAATTTCCCTAATAATTGATTGCAATATTCAAACTTGTCTTATGATGTGAATCTGATATATATTTTCTTTACAATTTTTGAATTTTAATAGGCACCCAATTATGCAACACAGGATTACAGGACTGAGTTGGGTTCCTCTTCCAAATGCAACAAGTTGTCAATGCGTGCTCCTGCTAACAATGTCACTGAGGAAAGGGTAGTGAATCGACGTAAGTTAATCACATCTTTCTTAGATAATGAGCATTTATACATTATTCCTTCCTCTTCACTTTCTCTTTTCTTTTCCCTGTATTTGTGTGCGTGTACGCTCCTGTATATTTATTACAGTTCTTTCGAAATTAATTTTAAGTTCATACATAAATTCATTATTAAATTATCATTATTCTCATTTTCAGCTCCCGAGAAGAGGCAGCGAGTACCTTCTGCATACAATCAGTTCATAAAGTAAGAAAAGAGTAATGAATTTCTTTAACATCTGGACATCATTGCTATGATTGCAGCTTTACCATTTTATTACCAATTATACTAAAAATTGTGAAATTAATGCAGAGAGGAGATTCAAAGGATCAAGGCCAACAACCCTGATATCAGCCACAGGGAAGCATTCAGCACTGCTGCTAAGAATGTAAGTTCACCAAGTCTGCAAACAATTGATCAGAAGGCAGACTTTTAAGATTTCATATCAAATCTTCTGGTTATTGACCACCTCTTTTTGTTCCTAGTGGGCGCACTTCCCTCATATCCACTTTGGGCTGATGCTGGAAACCAACAATCAAAATAAGCTGGATGATGTAAGTATATACACAGTATAGTTTCTCTTCACAAACAAGGAAAGTTTGAAACAAAATCTGGCTTTCGGTTTTCTTGCTTAAGGTAGAGATGACCTCTTTTGTAAAACAGCTGCTATGCACATTACACTACACACCTTCTCTATCTGTATAAATATGAAAATGATCCTTCAACACCTTCCTAATGGGAATTTGAGAAAGATTAGCATATAATCAGAAAAGAATTATAATCAAGCATAAAATGTCAAGTTGTTTTGTTTGGGCCTTAATAACTGTCAAGCTTCTCTCTTTTAGCCAATTGAAGAACCCTATTCTTATTTTGTTTTAATGAAGGCATACCGAATAATTAAATTCAACAGTCAATAAACGGGAATGATTTGAGATTAGCAATGGAGGACTCTGATTAACTTACTTACTTACAATTCTTTTTAGTCCCTGCTTAATTAAATTCATTTATTGAATTGAACTCCATTTTGTATAGGCCTCTGAGAAACATCTCATGTCAAGGACTGCGCTGCTGAACAAGTGATTGTGTTTAAGGTTGAAGCCCTTCTGGAGTGAAGGCTATGGTTGAAGTAAAGAAAGTATTGATCCCATGTGTTTTTAAGGACATGAATTTTTATCCTTAGTTTTATTTTGTCTTCTGTTGTTTAAAATATGTTATTCACTTGAACTGAGCTACTTGCTTTGTTGTCTTCATCTCATGATCCACCTTTTAAGTGAACATATTTATATATATAATCACTAAAAATAAATTCCACTTTGCTGTTTATTAATTAGCCTGCAGTGGCACTCATTTATCTTCTTCCTGAAATCAGAGAACTAGTAATCAGAGTACTTGAAATCTTGCATGGTTAACTTTATTCAATAATGTTCTCCATGCATGAGTGTTTTACATCCATGTATGTGCCAATTCTATATATATATATATATATATACTCTTTTCTGATCAAGTTGAATACGATTAAAATAATATGTTAATCATAAGATACTCCTTACAATATAACATACTTGCATTTGGCTCAGTTATCATATAGTTAGTAAATTACTTTGCAATGTCTAACTTCTTAGTTGTGTTTACTACGATTAAAAGTTTTATTTGATGTATTGTCAGGGTATTGTATTTGTACACTATCATTTAACCATAGTGTCCTTTTATAAATACGTAAAGATAGATATTCAAAAATATTTCAAAATAAATATTTTTAAAATTATGAATATTTATTTTTGAGGGTTCTTATAACTTTTAAATTTATTTATTAACATTTGGTTCACTAATGGTATATAAAACTTATGTACTGGAAGTGAATCCTAAGATTAATGCTCCATACAAAAAATAATTGTACATCCTAAGATTAGTTCTCTGTGAGGAAAATAACTGTGAAAGTTTAATCGACCTCTGTTATATATGACTAAAAATAATATTAAAATAAATTAAAGCTATGTGTTTGTTGTTTTTACCTCTTGCTTTTTTCTTTCTCAAAATTATTAAAAAATTAAATAAAAATAATAAAACAAAGTGATATAACTCCCTAGTTGTGCTTATTGAAATTAATGCACTGTAGGGAAAAGAAATGTGAAAAATGTTTAATTAACCGCTGCTATGATTTAAAATAAAATACAAGATTCTATTTGATTTTTTATTTTTTTCTCTTATTTTTTATTACTATTTATTACTTATTTTCTCATAAATTACTTTGATATATATATTATATTTGGTCAAAATGAATAATTAATATGCATTGCTTCATATAAAAGTTGAAATCACATAATTTGTTTTTTTTTTTTATTTGACGAAGTGAGATGCAAAACATGCTCTTTGAGTAGAGATCATATGCCAACCACTAAGTCAAATGTTGGAGTGTTATAATTTATTGTTCATAAACATAAATTTTTTATATTTAATTATTTAAAAAATTGCTTGAGATTTTGCTATAATGAGTGTCCTAAAGACACTCTTTTTAAGATTACTATTTTAAGTAATGTCTTCTTTTAGTTCACCTAAAACAATAAAATGAACTATTAACTATTATATTTAATACAATAATATTAGTATTAATAATATATTAACTAATTTTAAAGAGTGTTTAAAAGCATTAGAAAACAAAATCCATTAGAATTATCATTTTTTTTCCAGCGAATGTGAAAAGAAAAATTAAAAGAGGGGGCTGAGGATGTCACGCTTTTCAACGTAAAATGTGCTTAGCTAGCTAGATTTGCATGCTATGACAGTAGCCATAGGCCATAGGCCATCACAAAGTATAGACAAATTGGACAATGGAGCAGTAATCTGTCACTGTTTCACGATCTTTAGTACCCCAGTGGGAAGCACATATTGGGAAAATTTATAATAACTAGTGTATGACAATTTCATTTATTTCTATAAATTTTTCTTAAACACTGTAGAAACTAAAGTAATCTAGCTGTTTTGTTTGGCAAAACCATCATATTTTTTTATAAGTCATGCACTGTATTTTCATAACCAATTCCTTGAGCTAATTCTTATTATAAATAAAGTAAATACTGATCTTCTTGTAACACAACTAATTTGTTTCCTTCCAATTAACAAATCTTCTTAGAAAACTTCGGGATTTGCAAGCAAAGCATTTCTTAAGAAAGCCTAGCAAAGAATTAGAAAATTAATTGTGATTCCAGTGAAACAAGCTCCTCCCGGTAAAAAGTTGAAGGGATTGCAAGAGGAAAGGTAAGTTGCATGAAGAATTACCGGCAAGTACTTGCTACTTCCTTGAAGCTGTCACATAGAAACTTACATGATTTTATAGAAACCAGGCCAGTTCCGTTTTTGCTTTGAATTATTGAAAGAGTGAATGGGGAAAAGCTACTCTTCCTTTGTTTTTATTTATTTATTTTTCTTTTAAAAGTAAATATCTAAGAAAAGTCTTTGTCTGTCCAAGCATAGAGTACAACTCACAAGCCATAAACCCTGTGAAAAGTAGAATTTGGACCACCATTTAGCTCCATGGCATTTCATCTCAACATCCAAAGAATCTCCAATAAAAAGCACTAAAGGTATAGACCAAACGCTTTTGCAAACATATTGCTCTTGCTCCAGCGTCTCTGATTTTTGCATTCAAACTGTTGACTGAATTTTTACGTGTAATGATATATGCTCAACCTACTTTCGTATCAGAATCATTAAATTTCCTTTTTTCGTGAACAATATCATTATCGTTATGAAATGGAGGGGGCAGAGACAGCAATTAGGGCATCTCTCTCTCTCTCTCTTTGGTATATGTAATATCAGAGCAGCTGGTGAAGTGGAAATGTGGTCTCCACTGCTCTATTCTCAAGAGAAAATTAAACTTTCAATCAGCAGCTATAAACACACCCACCTTTTCTCTTTGATTGCGTAAGAAACCTTAACGAATCCAATTTGTTGATTAGTAAAAGGTAAAAAAAAAAATGTAGACATAACATGAGTATACACCAGAAATGGTAGGCTTATGAATGTTTTTCTTATACATCCATGAGTATACGCCAGGGTAAATCCATGAATAGCTGGATTCATGACAAAAGTAATCCTCCTTAGCGTCTTATTCTTATCAATCCTCTCCATCATTATTGAGGGCAAGGATTTGTCCTGATTAGCTCACCAAAAACCTTTACTGTTCAAATGGTACTTGCAGACTCGTGAATCATATATGTGTGTGTAAAAGAAAAGGGAAAAATGTACAGGTTTTGAAAGCATTGACCATGATTAAAATGTCTATTCAAAACCATAATACTTGTCAATAAATATGACATTTACAAGCTAACTTGAATCCTGTTGACCAATATTTATATATATATGTATGTATGTATATTTCATGTTAACTAGATGAGATTTGTGCTGAGCAAAAAGAAAAAAAAAAGTAGATAAGATTTGAATGGAAAGAACTAACAAGCACCGAGTAGAGATAGAGAACTAAACTAAGAAGAGGAGGCTTGTTTAAAATAATCAAAGAAATCAAACTACATATATATATATATATGTATATGTATGCATATATGTAACAATACTTAAAGAAGCGTGGAAGGGATAATCAATGGTTTATTTTTCCTCCATTCTCACTTCCATCAGTGTTACTTGGAGTGGGCAATTGGTTTCTTGTACGAGTAAAGGGATAGAAAAGAAGAAGAAAAAGGAGTAGAATATATATTATTTCAGAAGAGAAGAAACTAGTATTGAATTAATATGAAATTTGACTAGCTAGAGAGAAGAAGTGCATGTAAATTGTAAAATGTAACTAAGGGTAATAATGATTGAATGTCCTAGGGATCAGCAATTGGATCGTAGTAAGATCACAAGCTGGCAAATGGATTTTCTTGCTTCTTACACTACTTATTTATCCAAGAAAAAAAGAGAGAGAGAAAGAAACAACAGTAGTCCGTAACAGCATACGGGGCAGTGGTTGGTGGTGGTGGTGGTGGTGCTAGTGGGGAGTAAAAAACTAGAAAAGGGAAAGAGTTGCAGCAGTTCTGACATAAGAATCTGAAATGTCAAATTCATGTCTGGTAAACGCATTCATTTTCATTTCATTGTCATTTCACTTCTCAAGCCTGACCTGCTCTATCATCCCCACAGGCACAGGCACACACTCCCCGCGCCCAACTCGCTCTCTTTGGAGTTTGGAGTTTTGAGGGGCTCTCTCTCTCCTCTCTCTCTCTCTCTCTCAAGACGAATGTTGGTGTTCCTACACCTCTTTTAAAAAAAATAAAAAATAAAAAATTGACTGTGGGCCACCTGCTTTCTCTTGCAAATTTGCATCATCTTCGAAGGTGGGGTCCAACAGGGATAAGTTCTTTGTTGCGAAAGTAGGAGCAGCACCCCAACAACATGTGATTCCTGTTCGGTAATTTTTTTGCTTTTGGGTTTTCGGACATAAATTCTGCGATGTGTGAACAGGAAATGTGCCACGTCCAGCTCCAATCATCCAGGCTGATCTTCCTTTCTTATCCAGAAGAGCAGACAGGAAGATCCCAAAGCCAAAAATGGGAACAAAGTAAACTTGTAGCCCTCCATCCAAAAAGAGAACCGCATTTTCACAAAGAACCAATAACAAATTTTGTTGCCAAGCAACATGGTTCTCTAATTTTGCTGGTCCCGGATAATTCCACTTACTACTTTCAGTTTATCCTAAAACGGAGGATTACAACCTGATGATTTGTGGGAACCCTTAACCTCATGAAAAACTAATAACACTTTGCTGTAACCAAGAAAAAATGAGTGCTAAATGCTACAAATGAATCCAGGTTTCAGTTTAGGGCAATTCTTTCTCCTATATTAAGGCAATGATACAACTAATTGAGATTCCCACTGATGAAATCTTGACTCTTTAACTAATGCAAAACAAAAGAAAAATAAACATGTCATTTCTGTGTCAGGAGCATATGGTATGTGATCCTATTGAACCAAAAGATATTCTTGATGAGCTATCAGATCTGAAGTTGAACTCAATATCTGAAGCATCAACATGGTTAGGGCCACTGCTTGTCGAAGGGAAAGAAAAAACAAGGGCAGGAGTAGATCTGCTTGAGCCAAAACTATATGAAGGTACTGTATGTCCCTCTTTCGGCTGATGCAGACTGCTTCCTGATAGCGATGGCATGATGGATGGTGTTGGAGGTTCAGAACACACGCCAGAAGATGTAGAAACAGGGAAAGTGAACCCGGAGCTGTTATCTGAAGTGAACATACACCTTTGCCCAGGCTTGCTGACAGAAATAGAAGCCAAAACTGGTTTATTTCCAAAAGAGTTGGATAAAGGCTTTTGCAGACCCTCAGACACAGCAGCATCAGTAACCTTCAAGAGATCCTGTCCACTAAATTGATTAGTTTGGCATTCTTTTAAGTACATTAATGAATTTATGGGAAAAAACAGAATACGTGACAGATGGAACTAAAATTTAAGTAATGGATAAACCTAGGAAAATTGACAGATGAGACAGGAAGTAGGGATTAACATTGCTCCTGCATCATGATCACAAGATCAATGACCCCAATCAATTTAAAGTTAATTCCTTAGCATGAGAAAAAAAAATAGACAGCAAAAATTAATGTTTCTTTCAATTTCCAAGTTGGGATAACAGAACAAAAGAGATTGGGTATTGATATATTTACCATAGTGCACTTGGCGATAAAAAATTTATTATCTTCTTTATAATATCTCTGAAAAATTAGGGGGAAATAGGCTAAATTTCGTTTTAAAAGATCCTGAGAGCCTGTAATTTAAATTTTAAGACATATTCTAGCAACATTGCACCTAATACTTACTTGGAAAGTACTTAGCAAAATGATCAGCATTAAGGCATGAGAATGATACACAAATAGAGAATGCAGACCTAATGAGAGCATGCATGCTCACAGAACAATAATACAAGGATGAATGAAATACCTTGTGTGTAGTCTTCATTTGAGAATCCTGAGTTTTCACAAAATCTAGTGAAGACCCTGCAATATTGCCAAACATTGTAACAGTGCTACCAACTTTTAAATCTGAAGCAGAAGTGGTTTTGTTCACATTCTTAGCCTCAATGGTACTCTCTGGAGAAGCCACAGAAAATGAGTTCCCCCTGTCCTCATTCCACTGAGCATGACTTCTATTGATGATTTGATCCTTGCTTTTAGAAGAATCAAGTCCTAAATATGGCAAACTGTTCTGCCCCTTTGAAATGGCAGCATTAGCATCTGAAGACTGAGATCTATTCCACGAAGTGGCTATCTTTAACTCATCAGACTTTTCCCTAGGAGTGGCTAGATTTCGTTCAAGGTGCTCCAATATTGTCCTAGCCATCTGCCTGGAATGCGGATGAACAGGTGGGATACCCATTTCAGAGCTTCCAGACTTGCTATCTACGGACTGAAAAACTGAAGAGCTACTGGTGCCTCCTGGTTCCAAAGTCTTTTTGATAGAAGGAAATAGACCTTTGGTGGAAACATTAGAATTTTCCACCGTGGAAGGACCATTTAACAATGAATGAGAATAAACAGATCCTCTGGATGGAGTTTCCATGCCCTTATTTTGATTCCTGCGAATGGGTCCCACAGATCTATGGCCATCTTCCACTATGTTGCTTCTCAACTTCAATTATGTGTTCAAACAACAAGCAAAGAAGTCAAGTCAAATAGATGTACAGATCATAAGAGTTCAATTTATCAAAAAGCAAGTTGCAAATAGGCAATAGCTAAACCATGATAAATATTTTCTTATTCAGCTTTTGGTATAAGTCAAAACAAAACACAGATTATAGACTGTCCAACCTAAATGCACATCTTTTTCCCTAAATGTTCACAGAATAAAATTTAGGTAACAGATTATGACATAACACTTTAATTATAAAATATGACATAAACACAACATCAGAAAACATAATACGCGCTTATCCTAGCATCAGAAGTAACCAGGAACTCATATTGATGAAGCATGATAAATACAAAAATAGAGAGCATATAATTCAAGCTTGAACTACTAGTATTACCATTCTAATAAAAGGTCAAGGTTCAAGGTTCATTTTCCCCCCTCTCATCTCTCCTAACCTTATCCAAATGTAGCCAAAATAAATTTCTTTTAAAGAGAAAGGAAGTTGATTCCAAAATCTTAAACAAGTCCCAACTCACCTGTGAGTAGTTTCATTTATGATGCAGCTTTACTTAAGTATCACATTAAAAGAGAAGCTCCACCCAGCCTTACGGCTTACTAACAGTAAGCTACTTCTTTTTCATTGGTGCAAAAGAGAAAAGCTATACGTTCAAATTTAGTTTAAGCACCCAAAGAGAGCTTACTGTAATAGAAAAGGGCCATTTCCCAAATAAAATCGCAATCCTAGTTTATGCATTTCTACATGAGCTAACATCTAAGTTATACAAATATTGTTCTCCTCCTGAATCCTTGTTCAGAAAACTACTAAATGTAAGGTTAAGCTCTACCATAAAACTTCTTTCAGCAGGCACCATACGAGCCATATGAAGAACAAGAAATTTTCGCTTTATAACGAGAAAAGAGACAACAAAGAGCCTGCAAGTAAAATTTTCAGCACAACATTTCAATGTAAGATGTACTGAAGCCCAAGCCATAAATTCTTCATCCTTCCATAGAAACTACCATATGTCATCTGATTGTCCTCAACCATCTCCTTCCATTTGGCCTTCTAAGCTAATCAAGATATCAGTCTTAGAAGCACTGAGAGTACATCACTCAATATGTAACAGCCTTAATTAAGTATTACACACCTAAAATTACCAATCAATGGTCAATGTCACTATTGCAAATTGCAAATGGTATAACCTTAAAACGTGACAGGCATACCGAGAAATAGAAAAACATGTATGTCTGTGTGCATGCACGCATGCATATATATGAACTTAACACAATATCGGAAGTATAATCAGGATTATAAATAGTCAAAACTTACCTGCCCATATACAGGAGATCGTGATTGCAGCAAGGGAGAGAATGAACTTTTCAGGAAACCATTACCCTCGTCTTGTACATGAGCCAACTGATTACATGCAAGGAAAGAACACAAAAAAACATCGCTCATGCAATGCATCAAATGTAATCATAATGGAATGAATACAACATTTTAAAATTCCACACCTTGGATTTAGATTTTGAATAGATAGTTCTGGAGTAAGGGGTTCTTGGAAAATTATGAAGCCCAAATCTGCCTCTTTGAATTTGAGGAGTTAGATAACCACGCTGATCCTGTACCATGGAACCTGGCCAACATACGGATGGCTTTGGAGAAGGCAATGAAACAAGCGGTTCTGATGCAAACTCATCACCAAGCATTGATGGTCTTTCATCATTTGATATAATACTTTTAGAACCTAGGTTTAACTCTGATGTCCGGCTCCCCATGTATGCTTTTGCAATTTCAATTGGTGAAGGTCCAATTTCATCTCGGAGCTACAAGGTTTCATAGAATTTAAAAATTGAAAAAAAAAAAAAGGGAAAAGATATGAGGGTACAAGCACATCAAATTTAATGTACCTAACAATACATGATATATGTTGGGCATGCAAAAAGATGCAACTCAGAGCATGCTCCCACGTGTGTATTTTAGAGAGAGAGAGAGAGAGGGATGACACAAGAAAGATAATATATTAATAAACGACTATCCATGGGAGGAAAGAGACTTCTCTTTTATGTTGGCAGCTCTCAAAAGGCTCATCCAAACCAACCTTTCCCATCCAAACCAGCGCAATAGCTGTAGTAACTCATCTTAGTTTTACCGTCAAGAGCCCAACCCTTATTTATATCTCCTTTCAATATGTCAAAAGCTTCCCAAAAAACATCAGATAAACTTTTTTATCCATCACAAATATCTTTGATCAAATTATTAACTTGACAAGTATTTCATAACTACTTCTAACTATAGCATACACTCCAATGCATCTTTTACTCTTTCGGGGACTAGGATTATTAGATCTCAATATCTAAGCATCTAAACTCTTAAAGTTCATGAACAAAATTATGAGACTTTTACAGCTGTTATTCTCTCTTTTGAGTTTATGTTAAGCAATTCCCAGCTCCAAGTGTGACGACTTTTGAACCTTGTGTGAAGACTTTTGAGCTTGTGTGAAGGCTAGATCTTTTATCTTCTTTCTTTTCCAGCATTGTTTCAGATTAACAACCAGCCCTTAAAATCCTATTAAAACCCTAGAATAGCCACCTATCAAACACTAGCTGAATCCACACCAAAGCAACAATCAAAATTCAACTCTAACCACTGTAAGGGTACTGTTCACAACCAAAATCAGCAGGTATGTTTATTGCCATTTTGTTTGATTGTGCTCTCAAAATTGAGTCTTTTCCTTCTAAACCAACCAGAAGACTATCATTATATTCTCCTATCCAGTTAAAGTATAAAATTACAAGTTCTTGCCCACCATACAAACAAATTATCTTAATTTCATGTAACCCCCTTTCCTCTCCTAAATAAATTTTAAAGATTAGGTTGCATTACCTAAATTGATAAATAATATGATCATATGAGTTCAAATTATTGATTTATAAAAAAAAAAAAATCTAATGGTTTCTACAAGTGAACTATAGTGCACTCATGACAACAAATGGGAAAAACAAGAAGTTTTAGCTGTTATGATTCTCAGTCATATCTTGTTGGGTTTATATTGACTATTAGCATCAACATAATTTATGATAGAATAATTTTTTACTGACACGTGGCTTTAAGAGTGCAGTTATAATTATCTATGTATGGATACTTTTTGCATATTTTGGAACATAGCTCATGACACATCCACAACTAACACAAGGGAAATCATTCAACCTCAGTATTTCATGCGCATACCATTAATCCAAAATGCAAGTTCATTATAATGATTTTCACTCACAGTGGGCTTGGGAATTGGGGTTGCCAACCCCAATACAGTGTTATTTAAATCATCCTGCTTTTCTTCACTTGACCTTCTCAGGTTTTGAGCAACTATAGCTCCCTTGTCACCTCCAGCAGACAGGATTAAATCCTTACTTTCTTGATCAACTTGAGGATCATCAACAGCTCTTGAATTTATAATCTCTATCAGACGATTGATTTCATCCCTGGATATAGATTATAAATGTTAAATCACATATTTGATAATTAACTGTTTGCACTGACTAAATGATCACCCCAAAAGATACAGAGACACACAGATGTGATTATGTGCACAGACAGGTATGAAAGAACAGATCATTAATTAATAACATCAAAACCAAGATAATTCATAACGGCTGGTGTACAACTATAATTGATGTTCTTGACAAAATTTAATCTTGGCGGAAACAGACAAGTCATTACAATTTACAAGAAAAAGAGAAAATGTATAATTATAAACAAGCCACCTAGAAAATGTTTTCCCCTTCATTAGCTTCTCAATTTCTGAAAGCCCATCATCAGTAACGTTGCCCTTATCGCGTTTTCTATGTTCAGCAAAGTCAGAACCAGCCTTTGATCCATCAGTGGTTCCCGTAGTACCAGTTGTTTTGGACACTCCAAACTGGAAAAAAAATGCAAATATATTCACTCATCCTAAGCCATCAAGAAAAGCTCAAACTAACAATTTTTCGGTTAATCTACAACATGATTTAAGCAGATTTAAAGTGATAACATGAATACAAGCATTTCGTGAACAAAAGTCCTTACAATTGAAGAACAAGTTCGATCTTCGCCGTTACCACGTTCTTCTATATCTCCATCCAAGTTAACTGTTTCCAACAGAAAAAAAAAATTCTTCAACAACTAATCAACAGTAGTTAAACATTTACTAATTAACAACGCAGCAGATAAAAAAAAAGAAGAAATCATTTAAAACGCTCCAGTTTTTTTCACCTACAAAGTTACTCAATTTCAATCCCCGAAAACCTAATAAATCACGGAGAAGAGAAACGTTTTAACAAAGAGGCTTTCTTTCAAAAAATTTAAACTAACCGTGAGTTTGAGGTTCTGGTGGCGGGAGGGAATCATTGGTGAGTGGTTTGGAGAAGAGAGAGGGGAAGATTCTAGTGGCGCCGCTGGTTATGAGACGGCAAGCGGGATCGACGAGTTTGGAGAGCAAGCGGCTCCGGAGGAACTGGCTTTGCTGCGGGCGGGCGTAGGGTGTTGCCGGTAGTCTACGAGGCAGTTGTCTCCTTAGTTTACCGCCGCCGCGCTCTGTCGTTCCTGGGTCTTGCATTGTGAAAGACGGCGTCGTTTCTGTGGTTCTTGCCATTTGAGTCTCTCCTCTGTTTCTCTCTCCCCGTCTCAGCACGCTCATTCACGCCCCAACTCACCGTGCCTACTGCGAAGCGCGCTTTTTTGACATTTTTTTATTCTTTTTGTCCTTTTTAGCCACTTTTAGTTTTTTCTCGTTAATTTGGGCCCATTAACCAATGGGTATCTGCCACATGCAGTAATTTTTTTGATAAAACAGAAGGAAAACTTCAAAAACAAAAAGAATTAAATTTTTAATTACTATGAAATTGCATTAAAATATAAAAATTCATCTAATCTAATTTATTAATTATCAAGGTAAAGTGTTTCTTTTTTTATTTTTTATTTCAATAAAGGTGCTTTTTTTTTTGGTCATCACTTTCTCTTTACGAAGGGAATGAATTTTGTAAGTAGTATAAAATAGGTTTTATAATGGGCCATATAAGTAAGAAGGGTTAACAAAAATATCGTACTTTCTTGTTCACATGTTTATTTCTATAAATATATTAATACAAGGCTTTTTGAGCACAAATTAGGTAAATTTTTCAAGGTTAAGATAGTAAGATTCTTTTAAAAAAATTATCAAATAAAAATTAAATTTGAAAACCTAAATCAATAAATTAAAAGATTTTCTTAGATATATTAAGTATAAAAAATTTGAAATAATTTGAATATATTCTGATTTTTTTGTCGAGATAAGTATTTTTACTAAGAATTTTGAAACAAATTTGTACCATTCAACTCATCAAGTTCTATCTATCTATAGTTTGGATTTTCAATATTTTTAATTTTTATTTAATCAATTTTAAAGGAAAACATCACCAACTTGACTTAAAAAAAATCTTATCTAAATGAAGAAGATGCAAGTGCTTCAGTTGAATCCTTGCAGCAATTGGGGAGAATTAATTGATTTAATGCCACAATATCTACAGAAACCCATAGTTTTTCTTCTTTGTTGAAACAGGCACCACAGCACCCATCTATTGGCTTTAGAATTAGAGGAGGAAGGAAAATTTAGCAAGGTAAAGTAGTGAACATGCCCACCGTTGAACATACTGATTAATTGGCCCAAATAAGTTTATTAAAAAACGCAATGATATTGATAGTGTTAGTATTGCCTGCAAGCCAATCAAACATTGGTTGTACAAAGATACTTATTATATTTAAGCTTTTGCTAACATGTGGATACTTGTTACAATAATAAATTTACTAAACATGATTAATCATGAGAATTTCATTCTGTTTATCACTCTAGGAATTATAGAACAATTTCTCATATTACAATTATGTTAATGATCTTTAGATTTGAGAGCATGTGATTAGTTAGAGAGTGTTATATTTTGATGTTGTCTAAAATGGTCCTAACCAAGGATACTCAAAACGGGATAGATATACATGAAACATTTGAGGGTAAATCAATGATCAATAAAGGATTCATCACCTTTAAGTGAATAATAAGGGGAATGTTCCACTGTAACTTGATAAGTAATAACTTAGACTTAATTACAAGAAGACTTAATTGAATGCTTCAATTGTTCCTAAGGTAATTATGCAATTAAGCATAATGATTATGCATTCCATAAAATTTAAGATTAATTAATTGTATATAAATATGAGGCTTATGTTGCAATTAAGATGACGTTTGGTATTTTATAATACAATATGATTATAGTTAATGTGATTACAGAAAAATAACATTACAGTGTTTAGTATACAAGAAAAATAATAATTAAAATGTGGTGAAGATAGTATTACAGTGTTTGGTTTACAAGTACTTTGTTGAAAATACAATGTTAATTTTTAAAATTACTCCTATTTATTAAATTGTAAGTATAATATACTTATATTTTTTATTGTTAATTTTTATATAATATCATCTCTTAAATATATTTTTAATATCATATATTTTATTTTTATTTCTTATTATAATCTTATATATTTTATTTTTTATTTTTTAATATAATTTTTTATATTATATATTTTATTTTATTTTTTTTGCTTATCATTTAAATTTTTTTATTTTTAATTCTTATATTATATATTTTTATTTTAATTATAATATTACAAAATATTTTTAATAAAGTAATAAAGTTAAAGGGTAAAAACATCTTTAATAACATTACAAAGTGTAATGTAATATGATTGTATTAGTTTTGGACTACAATTACATTATATCCATTGGCTGTAATGTGATTACATTACAATCTTATATTGTAGTAGTCTATTACAAAATAAATATTGTAATATAATTTAATTGAACACATTACAGAGAATGTGCTCCCACCTTTCTGTTACTAAATGCTACCTAAGGGTTATGACCAGCACTTGTGAGGGAAATATTGAAAAAAGTTCCAAACCTTGATAATTGGCCTAACTATCCCTGTAAACTTGTCGTCGATATCACTCTCAACCATTCGATCATTGTTTTCTTCTCAATCTTGAGTACAACTCATGCTATTTTATCCACATATCAAGGTTTGAACAATGGTTATTTAAAATCCTATATAGAGAGAAGAAACCGTATGGATCACACTTTGCCCGAAACCATAGTGTTATTATCTTCGATTGGTGTATCTTGATTGTATTTGGGTTTCATTTGGTTAAAAGAAAGTATTGATTACCTCTTTCCTAACTAGAACTAGGCTCCACAAGCATAAGTAACCCCATTCGCCGTTGGATTTATTCATAATTGTCTTTCCTGTAGATCACATTGGATATTGGACATTTGGACAACTTGTGATTTGGTACAATTTAGGTTGGTGTAAGAGGATTAAATGATGTTGTAACTTTGTGATTTCAACTCCAAGGTTTTAAGGTATTATGACCTTTATCATTTAATTAGGGTGAATTTATGATAAATATCTCAAGATTGATTCTACCTAAGAGGAAAGTTTTAAATTTTCATTGCATTGTGTAAAATGATTGCATGACTTTTACCTACTTTGGTGTCAAAGCCTCTTTTGTTTTTTTTAACACAATTTTGACGTTTAATTGTTATTAATATCAATGGAGGTTGACTATATGTTGATTAGGAGCAAAAGATTTTGAAAAAGAATTTTCAAAATTGTTTAAAAAACTATTTTCAAATATAGACAACTTTTTTTCCTTTGAAGTTTTAATTGTTTCCTTATTTTATTGAACACCAAATTAAAGGAGTGATACATAATTGTGTTGGTAAAATATCAACGAAGATTAGGATTAAATTTGGTTGATTATGGTTGTTCTTTGATATTCCAAATTTTTAAGAACACTTGTTGAAAATTATTTTGGTAGAATTTTGGAATTTTTTAACAACAAATTAAAATATGAAATTATTTCATAATTAATAGCTTTGAAGACCACGGAATTGTTGGGAAAAACCATGAAAATAATTAAAAAAACGTAATGAGAATTTAAAATTTTCCCATCAAGCAAGATCATCTTAATTTGTTTAATATAGATTTAATCTTTGCTATTTGGTAAAAGTTTGTTTTGTCTAAGGCTAGCAATGGGTGCCCTATTACAGGGTAGCCGCGGATACTTGACCCGATTATATAGGATTAAGGTACTTTACAAGCTAGTTTGGGACGAGTTTAGGTAGTGATTTTAGTACTCGTATCGAGTTTAAATAAGATTTGGATACCAACCCTTAGATACCCGTTATCCGAACTCAATTACTATTTATAAATATTTTATTATTATGTCAATAATTAAATTTAAAATATACACTTTTTACCAACTTTATAAGCAATTATTTTTGTTAAAAACTAACAAATATATAAAAAGTATGGTTACTCTAATTATTAATGTGATGATATTAATATATTTAAATTAAAAAATATTAAATTATTAATT